TTGCAAGTACTGTGTGCAAATGTAAGTGCACATGAAGGAAAGACAAAGAATTTGTGTTTTTAAGAATGGCTGCAGTGTGTGTGTGTGGTGCCCTGGATTACCCTCAGAATGTGCAGATGACCGCTACCAAAGGAAGTGGAAGGAACAGCATGTTCACCAACTGCAGAGCCAGGAATAACAGAAGCCACACATTCAACAACAGCCATATGACTACAGGCAGGCTCTGATCAGGCACTTCCATTCAGGGTTAACATAATGTTTATATGGAACAGAAAAATGGGCCTTGCTTACAGAAAGATGCGTATTTCTCCAAGAAATGTGTGCCCAAGGAACAGGAAGCAGTACCTGCAGCCTCTTGGCTGAACAGATGGATGAACCCTCAGACTACAGATGCTGGCTACAGGAAAAGGATTTGAAACTCTGTTTCCAGAAAGCACACACCTTTCTCTGTGCTTCACCACAGATACCAGCATCCCCAGTTCTCAGTGTACAAAAGAGATTTTCTCACTGGCAGTTTACTCCTGCTCTCAGTGAAATAGGAGAGTGAATGGGCAGCAAATGGAAGCAGGGCTCCATCCTAGTCTTTATTAATTATTTACAAATCCTCAATGTTTTAACACAAAGAAGTTTTCAAAATGTAATAGAAATACACTTCCAAGCTAACAAACATCTTCAAAATATCCCAAGTTAAGAATCCAAGGATTAACCCAGGTTAACTACTAATTCCAGATAACTACTTCTGGAATAATCATTACAATTTCACATATGTTTTTAAAATTCATATGTGAAGTAAATTTAATCTGTTTGCCCTTACCTGTTATTTTGTCTCCAGACCTCTTTTTTATCCTCATATCAGTGAAATATTTAAGATAACTATTTGAATTAATACAGTAATAGAACCCATAGTAACAAACATAGTTAAATTTTTTTCTTGAAAAATAAAATCTCTTCAGACATCATAGTAAGGACCAGCCTTCAGGTAAGCCTGGAGAGCACACAACAGGGCAGGACAGAGGTGAGATCAGTACTGATCATAGGTGAGAGATGCACGGTATTCTCCCTTCTCACAGGGGAAACTCTGGGACGAGGGGAGACAGACTCACATCCAGTCCCTCCTCACAGATCCCTGCAGTCACTGTCTGAAAAAAATTGCTGATCTAAAAGGTGTAAACTGCAGGTAGATGAGGGTGTGCTGCCCACCAGGAATTTGTTGCTAGCAGTCATGCTTGAACCCTTGAAAGGGGCACCTGCCTTCCTCAAAGCTCAGGCTGCCAGGCTGGTGCCCTGGAGGGCAGTTCCACTCTGCTCCTGGCTGTAGTAAAGAGCCCGCTGCAGAAAAGCCATGCTGGACAGTACTGCAGGCTGTGCAGTGCTAGACAAGGTGGCTGCTGTCCCTGTAGCCTCTGCTGAGGTGTCCCCACAGGCCTTGGCCGCCTGCCATGCTCCCTGTCCGTGCGTGGGAGCACTCTCTGTCTCCACAGGAAGAAGGCAGTGCTGGTTCCAGGATGGAGCAGCCCCTGTGCTGGGAGCTCAGCAGGTGCTGGGGGACAAAGGGCTGCCAAGGAGCATTTCAGCAGTGGGACAGGAACAGTGGCAGAGCTCCAGAGCTCCAACCTGTGCCCTGGTGCTGCTTAATGCTATATATCTGAATGCATGCATTATATTTACATAAACAAGTGTTTCCCCTGCCACCCAGCAGAGAGAGTAGCAAAAAATCCTGTTACAGTCTTTACTTTAGGTGTTGCTTCCACAATCATTTTCTTCCTTCTTCTGACTTGAATGTTTTTATTTATTTGACATGTTTTTCCTAAGGGGATATGATTCTCTTTGTTTTACTTGCAAGGCAGTCATTCAGGAACAAAACAAAAACTAATGTTTCATAAAGGAGCCTACCTAAGGTAATGGTGTGAATTGACAAATCGAGCCCCATGTCAGGAAAAGGGCTGTGTCCACAGTCAATGTAACACTTGCAGGTACCCCTCTAAAGTCCCTTCAAATCATCTGTCTCTAAGGCACCAAACAGCCTTGCTGCAGATGGCTGCCCAGCACCACGCACATGTGTGTGCTCCATCAGCCTGGCATCAGCTTGCCTGGCTCATACCAGCATTCCTGGCAACTCCTGAGTGCTTTTCCCAAGACAGCATGGCTTCAAACAAAAAATTCAAGCACAGCCCAGAACCTCTTGAACATAAAATTGAAGGTGACATGCACAAGTCAATGCCAAAGAGTTTTGATTTAAGTAGCCTTTGTGAAGAAGGTGTAAAGGAAAGCATTGTAGGTCTGAAAGGAATGCAGGGAGAAGCCAGAAACACAAAACTCCAGAAAATGAAGGGAATCGGAGGAAATAAAAATGTAGAAAGGAGGTAATGGAGGACTGCAATGAGGATGGGTGAATGTATTTCCCCAGCAAGTAAACTGCAAGGCACAGGAAGGGTCCTTCCTACCCAAGTGGAATATAGGGCTTAAAATTTAATTAGTGCTTTCTTCTGTCCTTTTTGATCTTTGCACAAAGCCTTTCTTCACACAAAGGACAGAGAGGTTTCTGTGGGGATGTGTGGCAGGGCAGCCAGTCTCCCTCGGTTCAGGCATTTCCCGTATTTCCCGGCATAAATGGGATGCCTCTCCCTGTCCTTCCTGCCTGTCCCTCGACCTCCGGAGGAAGGTATTCCCGGGACATTTCACTGCGGCAAACGCGCCGGCCCGTGTGACAAAAGTTTCTGCGGAGCAATTTGAAGTTGAAACATTAGCCCAGGATCAGCCAACACCATCTCCCCCGCCCTGGCCGGGCTTGAGCTCCGCGTTCGTGGCCGGGCCGGAGCGGGGCTGGCGGGAGCGGCGGGAGCGGCACCGGGGGAACGGGGAGAGCCCGGGGGGAGCGGGGATCGCCCCTCGGCTGCCATCGCCCCCTGCGCGCCCTCCGGCTGCACAGAGCTTTTCTTCAAAAATAAAACATTGAGCGAATGTCCCTTCTCTCTTCAATACCTCAGCTCTAAGGAAATGGGAACGAGGGTTGTCACAGAAATTGTGCCGAGCAGACCGCACCTGCGGCAGACCCCGCACGGCAGCATAGCTCAGAGACACACACACACCTTTCGGCGGCCTCTGTCACGGAGGCGAATTGCGACCGACCCACTCGAGGGCACCTCTGGCTGTGGAGGGAGCCTGCTGATGAGCAAGAACTTCTCGACAAGATCTCAGGATCCTGAGAAGCTGAGAGAAACGCCAGTAGAAGTTCCTGACATCTGCATCATCCGCCTTGCATAATTTTGCATTTGAGATGCGCCCGTAGGAGAGGACCTTGTCATGAGGAAAGCATCACCACCTTTATCATGTGTGGGAAGCGCAAAAATGTGTTGCTGGGATGATCAAAGCTGTGGGGGAAAGGGGTATCGTGTTCTCACCAGTTCTATGCTTTGCTTGAATTAAACTCCGGAAAAGCAATAAATTACTAATAACTTACCCGGTCATGCTTGCTATTTTGCTTTTAAAGGCCACATATATCTGAACGGATCACAGAGCCCTCAAATATATTTCTTTTCAATCATACGAAGAGATATTTCACAAAGAGCATTTTTATGCGACCTTACGAAGGAAAAAAAAGTATTTTTTAAAAAAACCCTAAAGCGAGTTGCCCTGAGCAGCTGCCTCCCAAAGCCGGTCGCTCTCGGGGCTGGCTGCAACGCCCGCCCGCGCTTAATTTTCTGCCCCGGCAAATCCTAATTCCTATGAAGTCTGAAGACTTAGTTATATTTAGAAGTTCATTTCAGGAGCAGCTATCCCAAGCAGAAATCAGGCAGTGTATGCTGACAGCCACCACAAAATGCGATTTTTAGGCATTCGTTAAAATTCACGCACTTCTGCCCACGATTCCCAAGTGACCTGTCCCCAGTGCACATCAGCGCCAGCCGGAGCTTCACAGCACACGTGCGTGTGTGCACCGGGCTGTGGAAACGGGTCGGGCTGTAAACTGGGGGCTTGGTTTGATCGGTTTGGTTTTCGGTTGGTTGGTTTATAGGGGGGTGGTTGTTTTGGTTTGTTTCCTCCTTTAATTTAATTTAAGTAAAGTTTTACTTAAATGAAAGGCAGGCACCTGCAGTATTTGCGCTAATCCTTTGTACCAAACAGGATACCCGGAACGCCGGTTCGGGCATTTCCATCTCTCCGAATGATTCAGTCAGGTTTAAACGCGCCGCTTCTCCCCGGGCAGGCCCGGCGGGACCGGGTGCGGCCCTCGCACGAAGCGGCCGCGGCCCGGGGCGAGAGGGACGGGCCCGGCACCCCTCTCGGCACCTCGCAGCGCTCAGTCCAGCTCCGTCCCCGCCTCAGCTTCGAGCGAGGGGCACAGGCCGCGGCGAAGTCGCTAACACCCCGCCCGCATTTCCCGAGGCATCTGGAGTACAGACACCTGCCATCAGGTGCTGGAGCCCCATGGGTGCAGGGGATATCCAGGGGTGCGCGGGCAGGGGCGGGAATGCAAACTGCAAAGGCGCTTCCCCGGGCACGGGAGCGTCCGCGCACGGTCCGGAGCGGGCGAGTCAGCGAGCGGGGGGGCGCCCTGCCGCAGCCCGCGGCTCCGGCCGCCGCTCCCAGCGGAAGAGCCGCGGGGGGCGCGGCGGGGGAGGGCCGGCAGCACCTGCGGGCCCGCGGCGGCGGAGCTGCCCAGCCCCGGCCCTCCTTCCCTCCGCCCGCCCCGCGCTCCTGCCCGCCCGAGGTTTAAAGCGGGAGCGGCGGCTGTCAGGGCTGTTCGGCTCGGCGGAGGTGCGCGGCACGGCACGGCACGGCACGCCGCTCTCCTGGGCTCAGCTCTGCGCTGCCCCCGGTGCGGGCTCGGCCCGGCTCCGCCATGTGGCACTCGGCCCTGCTCCTCGGTGGGTACCGCGGGCGGCGGCGGGGCCGGCGGGGCGGGCGCGGAGCAGCCCCCGACCCTCTCCCTGTCTGTTCGCAGGCGCCTTCCTGCTCTCCGGCCCGGTGCGCGGCAGCGACGGCTCGGGTGAGTTGGCCGCTGTTCCCCCTCCGCATCCCGCGGGAATTTCCCCCTCGGAGCGTCCGTGCCCTGCCCGGCCCGGCCCGGCCCTGTCCCGGCGCTCTGGCCGCGATGCGCGGGAGCCCAGCCCGGGCCGGAAGGGTTTGCGGAGCGGCCGGTGGGAACCTGCAGAGGGGCACGGAGCGTGTCTGGGAACGCTTCCAGACGGGGGGAAATCTCCTCCCTGGCACGGGCTGAAGCAGCGCCGTGGTGACAAGTGCCCCATCGAGGGGAGTGCCGGTGGCAAGAGTGAGGGGGAGTGTGTTTGCGTGTATTATAAAGGCACTCGTACGATGCTTGGCAATTTGAGGATCTCTGGCATATTTTAGACCATGGAGTTGATTAAAAACATTTTAAAGTTGCCCTGCCATTATTTCGACCTGGAAAGCGGAGGAACATGCTTAGGATGCCTAGCAGGCTATGGCAGGGACTGCCTGTTGTGCCATCCTGTGTTGGACTGCATCCTTGCTGCTGGAGAGCAGGCTCTCCCAGAACCAGCATAATTCCATGGGAACCAGGAGCCGCGGGAAGCAGTTGGAGAAATGTGTGACCGAAGGACGCGAGCAGTTTGTCTGCCCCTTTCAGTGGAACCTTCCACCAAAGGAGGACAGGCGCCTCCAGAAGAACATGTTTCCAGATGCAGGCCTGGCCTGCAGGAGGTGAGTGACCCCAAGCTTTTCTGAATGGCTGTTAACGATTTCACAGTTATTAGGAATCAGGATATGCTGCTCATTTTGTGGTGAATCAAAGATTTGGAAAATTCTTTTGTGCTAAACTGATAAAAGCTATCTGTTACAGAATTGCTATGGCTAAAAAAAGGGGGGAAATGCACAGCAATGGAAAACCTACTCTAACCCCTCAGTTCCTTTCCCTTTTTCACTTTGCAGGTGCATTATGCATGAAGTGCTGACAGTCTGGCAGGAAACAAATGAATATTTTCTGGGATGCTTCATTCAGGGCCAGAGAAGACACTGTAACCTGAAGGTATCTGGAACCAGCTAAAATATCATTAATGTGAACAACTTTTGTAAGATATTCCCTCTTAGAGCTATTCTGAGCTTGAATTCAGCAGCATTTGGTTGTTGATCTAGAACTTTGCATACATAAAAGTGCCTCAATTCTGTTGCACAAAGTAATGAAAGAGCATTAATTTCCTCAAGAATCTATTGTATTTAGGCTCATAGTGTTTGTGAAGATCTTGGAGCATCTCAAAACTTTCTTTATGCTGCAACTGGAATGGATACAAATGCTGCCAAGTGCAGCAGTTCTGGTTGCCACACACGAGGCTGTGTGATGGCAAGTGGCCTTACGTGGGTGAGAAAAGGGCAGAGGGCTCAGATTGAAATGAATTCTATTGCCCTGACCAGGTTACTCTAAATCCCATTGCCCCTGTCCAGATCAGGATGTGTACTAGAGATTTACATCAATTAGTATGCAATCTGTGCATCTTTTCCAAAATATGAAACATAGGTTTACTAGTATGTCTTTTTTTTCCTCCAACTGTTGATACTCCTTGCATAAGATAGAAAAAAACAGGCTTGTTTGAAGCCTCAAAGTAAAAAAGGACCTAAAATCTTTCTATTTTGAAAAAGAAAATACTAAATACTAAAATAATAGGAAGCATAATAGGGATGCACTTCTCTATAATACAACTCATAAGGCTATGTTTCACGTAGGAACCCCTATTTTTAATTTTGTAATACTGTACATAGGATTCCTTTTTTCCATTGCATAAACAAACTGTTTTCACAAAGCAGCGCATGAAAGCTTCAAGATCAGAAAAGATCAGATTTTGCCTATGGGTTTTATTCCTCTAGAATAACTTAAAGCAGTGGCTCCTGCTGAAAATTAAGTCACAACTTTTATAGATTGACATAAGAGGCAGCTACTCATGGCAAAATCAGACTACATGGCAAGAGGCACCAAAAAGATAGAAATTGATGGAATGATTGAAAACGTGGTTGTTCTAAGAAATAAGTGAGTCTTTGCTTTTTTTTTTTCTTTTTTTAGGTCAACAATCAACAATGATGGAAGACATTCATCCCTACCCTTAAATATGGCCTAAATCAGGAAGAATTACAGTTTATTTTCTTTGTACCTTGCTTTTGTAGGGTATTCTGATGTAGTGTGTTTCTGTGAAGCTTGAAGGGTGTGTGTCTTGACAGGATGGGGTGACAGTTGTTTTATTGTTGTTCTAAAAGCCTAACTGAATGTAACAGAGCATAGGTCTCACATCTTCAGCAGAGTCCAGAATGGTTGGAGTCTAGAACTGAATCCTTTCCTGTAAATTGTAAACTTATATTTATTTCTTGCAAAAATACTTGGATTTAGAGTATTGCACCACATAAGTATTGAAAGAAATGCTTCCACTGCTACTGCTCTTGCATTCTTCAATTACAGTGATTAAAACACACAGGTTTTATCTCAGTTACTTTATATATAGACACAGCTCTTTGGCATTTTTTGCCATGTTGAAGTATCTTGGATAGACTAACGAAAACAAGCACTTCTTAAATTTTGATAGTAATATCATATATGAAATTTGTGAGAATTATGAGTATGTAAGCTGCCAAAGAACAGTTTTATATATTCTAGTATTCTGACCTCATTAATACATTTTCATGTTTGCAACAAAATCATTGAAGTTTTGTGGGTTGGATAGCTGATGATGCATTAACAAACAGGGAAGAACAAAAATCACTGCAGAGCTGATATCTTAAGTCCTAATTTTGGTAGTCAACAAAAAGATTTGCTTCCATTTTGATATTTCACCAAACACTTCTAATGTGTTCTAATGTGTAGTCTCTGTTTTAGAGTTAAGGCTTAGAGAAAACCGAATCTACCTACAGAAAATACTAAAATGAAATTTTTGCTTTTAATTAAGAGCATTATTTTCCTCAAAGTGTGTCTTTACCTCAGTGCTGATCCAGCTGAGGTATGAACTGCTAAATCCCCTAGCTCCAGCATGTCAGCTCTTCAGTTCACACAGCAGCAATGTGCACCCTTCCCTGGGGAGCCTGAAACAAGGATCATGACAGCTTTAGCCTGCCAGTACAGAAGAATCCTGTGGCTGGGCTACAATGGATTTCTGTGTTTTGATTGCCAGGGAAAACACAGAAAGATTATTTTTTTTCCCCATCTTCTGTGCTATGCAAAAGCCTGCCACATGACAGCAATTAGTAAGTACCTGGTGATGAGGGAAACACAGATCTCCAAGCAATGCAGGGTTTGTTAGCTAGACACATCTAATTACTGTCCTTGTGTGCACAGCCAGCCAGGGAACTCAGTCAAGTACATTACATTAGAAACGACAGGAGTTAAAACTTCCTGTGGTGTCTTGCACTTGTAGAGGCTGGAAAAATGTTGCAGGGTGAGAGGCACAAGCAGTGCTGTGAGAGCAGAGATTGCCAGTGGTGCTTGTTGCAGTTGCTCCTCCAAGGATTTCCAGCCTTGCAGCTGCTGTTTGATTTCGATGGTCTTGCTGGGTGTCATTTGGTGGACACTGCTTGTTCAGTGCCCATTAATTGGCAAACACACTTGTAGAACTTCCATGAAAGGATTAGGGGACTCAAAGAGGAAAGCAAATCAGAGTTTTTTACCAATCTATACCAATAATATTGTATTTTTGACATTGAAATAATGGAGCTTCTAGGTATAAGCACCAATTCTGCTTGATTTTTCCATCTTTTGTCTTTAAAGCAGTTAAGTAAGAATAAGCATGGCTAGGATGTGAGTAGGTAAGACTAAGTCCTAAAAGAAACTTTTTTATTTCTTAGAACACTTGAGAATCAGATTGAATCACTTTAGTTCTTGCTAGGTAGACAGTTTTTATTATCTTGAGAAGGGAAAAATAAAAAAGTGCCCACTGCTTTCTTTTCTTCTTAGTCTGAACTATATAGGCAGATTCAGTATGTACAAGTCCCATGTTTGTGCTAACAAATAGCAGCAATGATTTTTCAGGAAGATGTGATTAGGTAGTTTAACATTGTTTCAGCATAGCATTAATGACTATTGTATATAATTAAGAGTAAAATTGCATGCATAGCTGATGATGTATGTTCAATTCACACAGTCAGAATGAACAGACGTGTTTCACTCTGCATTTCTGGCTGCAACTGCTCTGCTTTTCAGCTCTAAAGTCAGTGAGATCAGCTGGAGGTATCGCCTTTTCCATCCCCTGATGAAGAACAGCATATGCTCCAAGGGCTTTCATTTATAAGCAGCATATGTTGGGGTCAAAAAGCACATTCAGTCAACAAGAATGAAAATAGTGGGCAGAAAAGTAGGTGAGAGACAGATCACTGATCCCTGAAACATACAGTCCTTGGCATATGATGCTGTGCTGCATGCACTGGTGCCTTGGCCAGCCTCTGCCAGCTTTCATCTGTGCACAGGTAGTTTTCCAGGTGCATTTAGAAAAGGTTCTTGCACCTTCTAGGTGCCTTAGGGACTTCAGAGTAAACAGCCAGGCATGGGTCGCCCTTGTGCTGCTGAATTGATAATGATCTAAGCCAAATCTCTAATTTGCTGTGCAACAGAGCAGGGGACTGTGCTACCTTGTGTAGTAGGAGGATGGTAGTCACCATGCAAGATAAAGACCTCAATGTTTTCAAAAGAAAAAGCAGCAGTTTGCCAAGTGAAATTGTGTACTGATGTTAATCTGTGTCTGCATACCTTCACTGCACACAGGCAAGCACAATGAAAGCTTAATGATGGGAACCTGGAGAGCAACTTCTGAAAAAAGGCAGAGTTCTACATAAAAAATGCGTGTGTCTCAGCTGAATAGATAACTTTTGTATCTCTGTATGAATCTAACAGTCCTCTGCACAATGATAATGATGTAAACTTCACTGTAATGAACTGATACCAATGTTCTAGATGTTACTGTATTATTACTGGAGAAACGAGATGTGTGTTCCTTTTTTATTTTTTTTTTTACACTGGCCTCAGTAGGATTTATTGCAAGAGGCTAAGGGAAATGCTGCTGTCAACTTGCTCTGTGAATGCCACAGGAGAGAAGATTCAGAATTTCCCAAGTGACTAATTCATAGATATCTTATGGCTGGAGATTCCTGTGGGGATGTCAGAGTGATTTAGTTTCTTCCTTGGAAACTTCCACCTGCATCTGTGGTCTGTCAGCCCTCAAAGGTTTTCCCCTTGCCCTTCTGTCTCTGCAGCAAATTTACAGAAATGGATTGCTTTTCCTTGTGTAATGTTCCTTGATGTTATTTTAATATTTGTTCATGGGAGTTTTTTTCCTGCCACTTTTTTCCCATAAGTAATTTTGAAGTGTGTGCTTACTTGTCATAGCTGTACATTTGTAAGCTCCAAAGACATCTTTACAGACATTGTATTTAGTTTCAAATTCAGATATTGCTTTAAACTTGGAAACTGTAGAGACATTTAAAAAAAAACCCTACAACAAACTCTTAAGATTTTCAGGTCAAAAGTTCTTCTTTTCTCTTTAGCTTCTACTGCTATCACGTGCTTTACAAGAGGACTTGACCTTAGAAAGGGGACAGAAGATGTCCTTTGCCCAGCAAACTGTCCTCTGTGGCAGTTTTATGTGTTTGGGGATGGAGTTTATGCCTCTCTTTCGAGCGTCTGCGGAGCTGCCATACACAGGTAAGTCAGATCATTGCTAATCCATGTGCTAAGTGAGTTTATAAAGTCTCTGCCACACTTACAAATCTTGGCCTTTTGGTGCCATCACAGCAGAAATCTCTCTGGACTATGGGTCCTATTAACTCAATAGGAATGTCATTGGGAGAAGAGAAAACACGGAAAAATAAAAATAATGTCTGTGCAGCTTGCAAGTTATCTGAGTTGTGCTTGACTGTTCCTCCAAACTGCTTTGTCAGCTTTCTCTGACATGGCCCAGCATTGTCCACAGGTGGCCTTTCACTGTAAAATCACTTCTATCACTAGTAGATATGGAAGAACACAGTACAAATAGTAAATAATTGAAGAATAAAAGCAGATTCACTTTCTGACTTTCTTAAAATCTTGTGTCAAACAAACTGTTTAAAAGAAGCAGAGGAAAAGAGGTTGCAATTTTTTTAGCGTCAAGCTATCAGAGTATTTTTATGTTAAAACATCCACAACTATAAACTTAAAATTTTACAGAAATTTAAATTGCTAGAAGATAAATGAGGAAAAGAAAACCTTCTTGAGTTAACATTCCTTGCTTGACACTTTAAATGCCATTAAAAACCCCACACCAAGCATTTTAAGTAACATTTAGGAAGCTGTCGTTACTATCTAGAATCTTATTTCAAATGTCAATTAAAATTTTATAACTTTTTACAAGGTTTCCAAAATTTGGGCTTATTGTACCTAGGAGTTTAAATACTCCTAGATAAACTAAAATGAACTGTTTTTTAAAAAGAAAAATTGACTTAAGGAGGGGTTTTGAGTAGAAACTCTGGAACTTCTCAAATGCTGTAAAAGTATCAAGGGGCTTAGGTATTATAGGAGGAGTTAGAAGGAGCTTGGGAGGTATCATGCGGATATGTTTCTGTTTGTTTTTAAAGCTGAAGAGTTTGTCTCAAATTCACATATTTCCATGTGTATTTTATTATTAGACAGGCTTCCTTCTGATGCTTCTGTAAAAAGAATTAAGATCTCCATTTAGTGTGTTTTAAGTCTTCATGGAGGTTTTAAAAAATTACTCTTCTATTCTTCACTCTTCCTAGCTGAGGAATATAAAAAAGTTTTGTGAAAAATATCTGGATTGAATGCAGGTAGTGACTTTGTATTTGCCTTTTTTATTGTTTTTCTTTTGAACTGAGGAAAACTGCGATTTCTTTCCATTGTCTTTTTTTATTTTTCCTGAGTCAATGTTTGTAATGAGTGATGTAGCCATTTATTTTAACATTCTATTTCTTGCCAAAGATGTCTTTAAAGAGAAAAAAGCTCTTGCTGTCAAGGTGTTGTTCTAAAGAGATTAAAGACTTAAACATTTTGAAAAGGCACAGAGGTTCCTGACCAGTCCAAGCAGGCAGCATTCTGAAACCCCCCATGCCAGGCTGTCAGTGACTGACTGCCAGCACAGTCCCACCACAAAAGCTGCAGGGGCTCAGTTCTGTCCCAGCTGGGAAATACTTCTACAAAGGAGGAGGTACAAGAAATGGCACAGGCGTATTTCTTTCATTATTTGCATCGTCTTCCCCTAGATAATACAGCACAAGCTTTATTTGATGATGCATCACTTAGCTCTTCACTGAAGTTTGTACCTTATAAACCATGTGTACTACTGTCCTCCAGCCCAGGAGCATGAGGCTGCAGAAAAATTCATGCTTTTCCATAGTAAGAGTCAATATAAATTGTACTTCTGGTGAAATATGCAACCCCTTTTGTACATCCTGCATCCAACAGTCTCTCTCCACTGACATTGTGAAAATAATGAGGGCT